TATGATTCATTATTACTTTATTCAACAATTTTATTTACAGCAGCTTTTTCACAACAGTTTTTTATTTACAAATTAATCTACTTAGATAACTTAAAACACTACCTGTGTTAAAACTCACAAAACTAAAATATCAATACATCATGCTAACCAGGATAACCACTTTCTCTGAAGGAAGCCAAATGAATGCAATTAAAAAAGCAACAAGAACTTAGGACTCCAAAATAAAATACCCCAAAAGATTCAGCTGATCTAGTAGGTATTTTTATGATTAATAATTTAATATCACCAGACCAAGCAATGTACCATATTCTTTAGAATTACACATTTAATATGTACATTTTGAAATGAATTTTCATCTGTGTAAAAAAAGACATTGTTTGTTGACACCCTTCCCCCTCCCCAATTCAAAATATGGTGGTGAGAGGTGAATATTCCAGCCATCCTTAAGAAAAATGTTTGTTTGGAATTGCTGCCTAGGAGTTTCAGACCCAGAACCCATATGGAGATTAAATTTTTTTTTTAAAATGGTGACAATCTCAATTATTTACTTCAATGTAAAAAGTGTATCCCAAGATCTCTGTGTTTACTTAGATCCAGTGCTAATTGTTTCAATAGTGCATGTGATAATAGGCCAAGAATTAAAAAAAAATCTGATTTTCGGTCACTATTATTTTTTTAAAGAGGGTCAAGGGGGGGAGGGGGGTTTATTTCAATGAAGTGTGGGGCAATTCCAAACAAACAAACATTTTGGCCTTAGCTTAATATATTTTATCAAATCATAATTTTCAGTTTTGATATAGATACATTGTACATAACTTGTCTCATGCAAATAAATATTAACATATGTTTTGGAATATATTTCACATATAAAATAGACATGTATTCCGTAAGAATTAATACGCAACTTGAATAGTTGAGCCAACAATAGAGTTCCACATCTTCACTTCAAAATTAAATGCAGAGGAGTCACATATATTGTTCAGATATAAAGATTGGCACCAGAGTTTCCTTTTAAATTCCATTTCAAGCATTAAAAATAACCACTTGCAAACTTCACAAGTACACTTGTACACAGCACAAAAGTGTCAGTTCAGTTTCTTTTTACACAGGTACTTTTGCTGTTGACTCAAAATTAGATGAAAATTGAAAAAAGCACATTAAGCATTTTTCAGAGAGTTTGTGAACCTTTAAGATTACTGTCCAAATACTCAATCAAATTTTAATTCTTCCATTCCACAGTGTTATAGTCAATCAGAACACATATTGGGAACATTCCAATCCTCTCTTTTATGAAACATCTGCAAAAAATGAATAATAATTTAAATTGTGCATATATAGTTAGAGATGGACCATGTAAACTCTTTCTATATTCTTATTCCAGTTTCTGATTTCTTCAACAATTTATTGCCTATGACCAAGATGACCAGGGTTCTCATTAACGCAAGAATCTGCGTCCTAGATGCAGTAAAATTCCTTGGGACGCAAGGTTCTTAAAAACGATGCGTCCGCGGACTCGTGATCGGACGCGTCCTCGTTAGCGAGAAAATTCGGGAGATTTCGAAAACGGGGAATTTAGATGTTAGGATTTGTCAAAGAAATATTTAATCGAAACCTTCATGTAACTATCATAAAGTTTATCCAAGAAACAACTTTTCTTGTACTTATTTCACTTTTTTTAAACAGGGATTGATCATAAGATATTTCATGTTTATTAGTCCAGTCATAATAGTGTCGCATGCCAAACTTAAAAAAAAAAAACACTTTTGAATCTTGAGTGTTATCTACATGCAGAAACCATAATTACTGCTTGTATACACAATGGGGCTTGATTATCTCGTGAATTTCACCCAGTGCAGACGACCGACAGGATTAGTTACGCCTCATTGCACATGACACCTGTGATTGTACACAGTCAACTTTTGGGTACTAGTTGATTATGCAACAGTTAATTTTAGCTTTATAATCACCAAGTTATTTTTATGGCAATTGATTATGCGTGTATTTTAGAATATGGCTTGAATGCATTACCAGTTTATATACTTGAATATGTTAATATTGCGTAAACAAACTGATAAAATGATAAAGATTTTTATTGATGTTTGGATGGAAGAATACTGCAATATTTTAGTTGGGACTCAACATAATTTTTCTGGGACGCATCAAATTTAGCTGGGACGCAACCTTCTCAGAAATCTTGAGTCCTGGGACTCAAGTTAGCAAAATCCTAGTTAGAACCCTGATGACGACCAAAAAGTACTGAAAGCTGTTTTTCTTTTGAAACATTAATAATAAAAAAAAGTTGATTCATCTTAAAGCAACACTTATAAATCAACGATAATTCCTTTGTTGTTGATAAAAATATTTCATTTGGGTTGCTTTTTGTTGTACACTTTACTCGTATTGCTTGTAAGTTTGGTAGGGAGCCTCTGCATAATACTCATAATTTTCCCTGCTTAACACAATTACTATTATTCTACTCTTGAATGTTCCGTGCCCACATCCTCTTTCTTAATTATTGCATTTTGATTTATTTGTTTTGTTAGGAATGTTTGGGGTCATGAAATTAATGCAAATAACTCCAAATAACTCATTTCATATTATATTTGAAAATTTCCTCCAAATGAACTACTACAAATGGCATAAATTTTAACCATAGAAATAACAGAATTGGTATTGAATTTTTTTTTTTTTTAAAGAAATCTTTGTTCCTGCTTAAGATATTCATCAAGAAAGCATTTTCGATTTATCTGTTATATTTTTACATCAAAATCAGCTTTAAAATCCTTATGAGAGGGTTTTAGAGCCCTAGTAAAGGTACGACAGAATTTTGCACTTGGGAAAATCATAAGAATTCTTGTGAAAAGGAACAAAATTATAATTTTCTCTTACAATGAAAATTAATCGGATGATTTTTTGTGAACAAGACTATTATTCTAGATTACATGACACTTACAGCTTACTGGTGTATCGCCAAACCTTCTGTGAATCTGGTCATGATTGAACTTTAAGAAAGCTTCATATTGTTCTGAAATAAAAAAAAAAAAAAAAAGATTTAAGACTTTATCTAATATTTGCATTACTCATATTTCTAAGGCATTCAAATAAATGACAAAAGATAACAAAACCAACTGAATACTAAAGTTGTCTTCTTCTTGTAAAGGTAAAATGATTCAAACATTAAATTGGGGGGGGGGGGGGGGGTTAATGTCACAAGAATATTACAAATATATACAGCTTCATAATTTTGTGAAAATTACATTTTATTTTTATATCCAATATCCAACTAAAGCAAATATCAATTCTTGATCCATCTCAAAACTAAAACATTATGAATTAGACAAATACCTGCTAGTTTGCATGTGAGTACTGAATTGTACTCCTGTCGTACTTGGTCCTCCCTATCCTTTAGCATGCGCTCACAAATCATGCTAACTTGCCGGAAAGTGAAGATGGGAATGTCTTTTTTGTTGGGGGAAAGGGCATTGAACAGCGAGGTAGATGATGAAGATCCTGATGGGAGGTCCAAGAGTGACGACTGGGAGGAAGATTCATGAGGAGGGGACATGTTTGGTGGGCTAGGGCATCCTGGGTACTGCAACTGTTTCCTTCTCTGCATTCTTTTTATTTCATGACTTAAATTTGTGGCAATTTGCTCTGTAAAATAATAAACCAAACACACCTTGAAATGGCTTGAATCATCTTTAGCTGTGTATATTGAAACAGAATGTTTCAACTTTTTCTTTTTTTTCCAATTTTACAGGCTTTATGCTAAAGTCTGTAAGTATACTAATTAATATGCAGTAAGTTAATATAATTGGACAGAAATCTTATTGTCAACCAAATGTTGCTATATAATCCTGAAAAAAGTACTCACTACACATGTCATTATGAGAAGAAATGTTCTGACCTAAATGACACCGTAACTTCCCATTAACTATTTACTGCTCAGAAAAATAAAAAGGATTAAAAAGAGAAAATCTGGCGTTTTTCAAAATAATTCAAACCAGAAAAAAACACTACCTGAACTTAGTTTTGGTCCAACTTCTCCAAAAGGCGAAGGTTGAAGTTGGTGTTGTTTAGTCGGAGGAGTTGATGGAGACAGGGTCATGGGCATACATCTTCTTCGTTTTGGTGTGGTTTGACCTGGGCTATGTAACGGATCGAATTCTAGAGACCTTTTCAGAGTAGCACCGCAAGCCATCTTTTGTTGATGGGCACGGTTCGAAGAAAGTCAAATTTAATAAAAATATGGTATACAATAAGCCACTTATGTGGATGTTAGGATTGAGGAATGTATTCACTTTCTCAGTACACGATAAAGTGACTTATAAGACACTCCTTTTGGGCTCGATGGATCTCGATTTCACGATGACTACGTTAACCATCCGCCACAAATATGGAGTCTCTTAAAATCAAAACAAGACAAGCCTCGTTTTGATAACAATTGATTCTGGTAAAACGAAAACCGGTAACAAGGTAGTGCATATTTTATTTGAATGTAACATTTTCTACACAATGTTTGTATTAATATTTCAAAGAATTATTTAATGTTTCAACAATATTTTAAACGATTAATACATATTTTGGGGGTTTAAGAGTCATCTCTTTTCGTTTTGTGCATTACGATCGTAATCTTGTTACGCAATGGATGGATATTGAAAAAAAATGTCAACATAGCACTTGACAGTTGATTTATCATTTAGCAAGACTGCAAGTTTGGTGACACTGTCACGGTACTGTTTGCAACCTGTCAGCTATTTTTGAGCAACATTTCGATACAGTCATGGAGCTGTGAAGTAAGTTATTGACTTGTTTATTGTTTTAACATGACTGTGATATGACTAATCATGTCTTTCGAATTTCCTCTGAGATACCACCATTATAAATTCATTTCAGACCAGTATGATTGACTGTGATGAAAGTATATTTTCATAAATTTTTGTGTAATGTGAACGGATAAACAGTACTACATCCTTAATATCCCAGTATATTCATCACACTTTGACTCAAAGTAGCAGTTTGACACTTCCCACCCAAGACAAATATAAAAATGGTGAAAAGAAAAGGAAATCCACAAAGAGCTTCTGAAGAGAAACAAAGATGTTTGACTTGGAACATGGACACACTTGGTGCAAGAGATCAGGGAGGGTCCATGTCTATTATAAATGATGATGACCCATGTCTCTTACATGAAGTTCAACAATCGGGTACTAACTCCTCAAAAGAAAAACAGAGAAAGGAGCCTGATCAACACATTTATCACTTTTCACAGGAATTGATGCATGACATGTTTAATTTAATTTTGAAGGAATGTATAATGTATGTGCCAGTTTTAAGCTGCAGGAAACCTGAGCATGATGGAGGGAAGTATTTTGAAATTGGGACATTTAAAATAAAAATTACAAATGAGAGTTTCACTCCACCTGTACCATCCCAGTTACCTGAGTGCAGAGAGTATTGGCTGTATGTCCACAAAAGCCATGGACAGGATTTGGAAAATAGGGTTCATAATATGCTGTATTTTGAAACTTGTGAAGCAGATGAAAATGAACCAAAGGAGAAATTTCAAAGATTATTCTGGTGTGCTGAATTGGATCTACCTTTACAGGTGCAGACTGTTTAATGTATAAAAGAAAATGTGACAATCCCTTTCCTCTAAAGTATAAAGTATGAATGAATTTGATTTTCAAGCTTTTATTGCTGATTCTCAATGTAAAATAATTTTCCTTTAAATTTGGTATTATTTTTTATGTGTACATTCTGCATTCAACTTCTGTCCCCATTTTCTTTGCCAAATTATCATAGAAACTGTTATGCTCTATTTCAGTTAAAATTTACTGGATGCAGATTTCGATAAAGATAAAACTTTGGAGAAAATTTCCAAAATGCACATTTTTTATTAAGTACCTGTGTCATGTTTGTTGTTATTTTGTGTGGTTAGGGATGCAAATAATGAAACAAAAGTGGATGTTATAAAGGAATCATGTTAATCTTAATTCTCAAAAAAAAGTGAATTCTTTTTTTCATTTTTATGAGTAGGTGTTAAAATCTTTAAGCGAGTGTAAGTTTCTCCAGTGTGTTGGCCATTATGACAATATAGAAGCCGTCTTACATGTGACTGTGTTTGGGTCAGAGAGGTTGATAAGCAGACCAGCATTTGCCAGTGAACCAGTCAAGTCCAAAGTAACTAGCACAGTTCTAAAGAATGTCATTGGATATTTCTTCTCCTTGAAACCACCAGGTATAATATCACATATGTGCTCTCACAGTTCTAATGTAATTGCAAAATATGAGCTGATAAATATCCAAGCTGAAAATTGTAATAATATGATATTTATAAAATTTCTCTAATAGAAAATAAACACGTAATATGCATTCAATCAGAAAATTTGCATTGAGAATAAGATTTTATGGCTTTGTTTAAGAATATATACCAGTACAAAAAAATGAGATTGTTTATGTCATATTTCTTCAGTTGATTCATCTATTGCAGACTTCTCCCATCTTCCATGTGTTAGGAACCATGACATAGAACATCTGTATGCTGTGGTGAAACAGAGGCATGATGACACAGAGTTAAAGATCAGTGTGGACGTACAACATGATTGGCTGAGACCTGTGCTCAGACCGTACCAGGTCAGAGGGGTCAAGTGGATGTTACAGAAGGAACGTTATGGTTGTCTGGAAGAGAACAAAAATGAAGGTATCAACATCTTGTTTCCTGTAAAAAAAGACGATTGAATTACATGTATCTTTAGCTACTGTAGATCACAAAATTTTCATGACACTTTATTTTCGCTAGATATTCATTAACAGTAAAGTCTTTATAAGAAAGACAAAATTTTCATGAATTGTGGTTATTGCTCTAGATCTATATATAATCTTAAGGAATACTAATACATGTACATGTATATGTGAGAATAAAATTTCCTTGAGGACACTGTCTCATGTAATTACATGAAAATAAAATTCTAGCAAATAAAAAGCGATTTACAGTACATAAAAGGTTTTCCTGATTAGTTTTAAACGATTTGTTTAAAATTTTTCCAGATAAATTCTCCCTCCATCCCCTTTACCATGTGATAGAAACAAAAGACAAACAGACGCTATACTATAATATGCTTGGCGGAAGGTAAAATTACAAATTAATTTTCCTAACATTCACATCTATAATAATATTGCTATACAGTTTTTTTTTGTAACAACATGTTTATGACACAGAAAATTTAGGAAGGTGAATGTTTATTGACTATTAAATGTAATAGTTGTACTTTTCAGCCTTCTGAGAAATCGACCAGTGTCTATAACAGCACCCCCTGGAGGGCTTTTAGCAGATGAAATGGGTTTGGGGAAAACTGTGGAAGTACTAGCATGTATCATCCTCCACCCACGAAAGAATGTGGATCCACCCCAAAGAATTACTACATTGTCAGAATATCAAGTAATTCACAAACTTGTCTCTTAAAGATAGAGATATTTTCCATTTCTTATCAGAGGAAACTCTAAAGGATAATGTATGTGAATGCATGATGCATATCAACATTTTCAGCTTAGAAACTATTGATTTTGTTGTAATACCTCTGTTTGATTATAAGCAATCACCTCCTATCCAACCCCAGAGACATTTTACAAATATCTCATTGGGGGGGGGGGGGGACCCAACTCTGTGGTAGGTGTAGAGTCTTATGTAAGAATGTAAGTCATCCTGCACTTCAATGAAATTTGTTTTTCATTATAGTTTATATGTAAATGTTTCAGAAAAGTGAGAGGTTTGAAAGTTCAGATGTTGAATTCACTTTGGAGGGTGTGAGGAAGGTGGAAGAAGAATTACTGGACAGTGATAGAGGTCATGATAAAGGTCATGATAATGGTTGTGATAATGGTCAACTTAATTCTTTAGACCATTCAAGTACAAGTCAAAGTTTAGACAAAAAAGATGATGTTCTGGATGCTGATGTAGGAGACCTCTGTAATTCAGAGCTATCAGATACAACCCAAGATGTGGGCACATATTTAGGAAAACTTGGTGATTTGCCTACCCAACCACTCAACAGTGAATCCCATTCCATGGACAAAGAAATAAATAGTCCAGGGGTGAGTGGATCTGTGGACAAACAAACTGCTAACAATAGTGGGTCCATGGGTACACAGATAACTAAGAACAGTGGATCTATAGATACACAAATAACTAACAACAGTGGATCTATAGAAACACAAATATCTAACAACACAGACAGTTCTGAGAAAATCCCTGTATCAAGTGAATCCAGCCATAACAATGACCTCCTCCACTCAAACAATTCTGTTCCGCAAACTGCCATAGAATCAGATTGCTCCAATAGAGATGAAAGTGGGGGTTTTAAAAAAGATCATTGTATGGATGTAGAGGTACATATGGATGTAGATCTTGTGAATAGTGTAGACTCAGGTTTAAAGGGAAGTGGAGATGTGGAAAAGTGTGCAGATGATACTGATATTGTGAAAATTTTACCTGGAGATGAATTAGGACATCTTGAAGAAGTAAGGATACATGATCATCCTTACATGGAAAATTCTCAATCTCTCAATAACAGTAAAGAACAAGTCCCTCTGCAAACTCAACAAAATCCACAACTGAAATCAACAACAAAATCAAAAAGGTCCAAATCAAAGAGACAAAGTAAAGGCAGGGAGAAACCTCCAAAAGAGAAGACTCCAGTCAGACAGAAAAGTATGAACAGGTTTGTAGAACTGGTTCCTGAGGACCAGTTCCGCAGTAAGAACATTTTCGACCACACAGAGTCTTTGGCTCCTAGAAACTTCTTTGAGTGTATCTGTGGTACAGCCAATGACTCAAGGAAGGTCAATAGGTCGCGAACCCAGCTACACAGGGTTCAGTGTGTGACTTGTGGTCTATATCAGCATGCAGAGTGTGTGGGTTATGACCTTCAGGATCCATTTAGGGGGCAGTACAGATGTCCTCACTGCCTTGTCTTAGCAGTAAGTCTCCATTAAATTAAGTCATTCAAGTAATAATATAGAAAAGTCCTTTAACTTTTTTAATTGGTCAATGAAAATAATTTAGTTTTTTTAGTGATCTGGCGTAAGTTTCTATTGAAAACTTTTTTGCAGGAGCCAATTAAATCAGGAGCCACCTTAATAATCTCCCCAGCAGCAATAAGTCATCAGTGGACAGAGGAGATCCAGAAACACATCAAAAGAGAATCCCTCAAAGTCTTTGTCAGTACATGTTTTTACCCCCATACATATCTAATTCCTGTTGAACAATTACTTATCCATAAAAATAGATTGAATTTGTCAGCTGTTTTATTTTGCTTCATTTGATTACTCATTGTAAAACTTTCCAAACAAAAGGTATACAATGGTGTTAACAAGCAGAGGTTTATCCAACCGATGATGTTAGCAAGACAGGATATTGTAATCACGTCATACGAAACCCTCCGCAGTGAGATCAACTATGTAGACCTACCTCACAGTAATAGTACGTACCAATCAGACAGTTAATACTGCACTAAAATAAGTTTTTATTGATTGTTAAAGTTCACAAATGACAATTTTTTCTCCGTCTTAAGGTGAGAATGGAAGAAAGTTCCGACATCCCAAACGCTTCATGGCCACACCTAGTCCTATCACTGCTGTAGAGTGGTGGAGGGTAAGGGGTACTGGCTTCTTATAACACATTCTACAATATACATCTTAACATTCTACATATTGAGATCTATTTAATTTTATGCTCCTTATCTGAATGGACTCATCTAAATCTATATGAAATTTTGTTGAGATCTGTGTATTTTATTTTGGTTCTCCTTTTCTGAGTAGATATGTCTGGATGAAGCTCAGATGGTGGAGTGTACTACAACCAAGGTATGTCTGCCTCTCAATTTCTAATTAAAAACTTTTGACAAAAACATGGAGTGAAATGATTCAAAATTATTTCTGAACTTTATTCCTGGGATATTTTAAATTTCAGACAGCTGAAATGGCTCTGCGACTGAGTGCTGTAAATAGGTGGTGTGTAACAGGCACGCCAATACAGAAAAGTATTGAAGGTGATGTTTGGAATGAAATATTATTGTCAAATATTAAAGATATTATTATTTATTATTGTTTTCCGTAATGATACTTTTAAAATGTGTCTTTAAAACTGGAGTTATCTAAGAGATAACATGCAGTTTTCTTTTTTTGCCAGAATGATTAAGGTACTGGAAAGTATTGTTGTCTGTCTGTCTTTCTCTCCATTATCCCTGTTTTTTTTTTTTTTACGACAGATCTTTATGGCCTGCTGTTGTTCTTAGGGGTGGATCCATACTGGGTCAAGCAGTGGTGGACCAAACTACTGTATGAACCTTTCTGTTATGGGAAGAAGGAAGCCATGATTGATCTGGTCTCCAAGGTGATGTGGAGGACGGCGAAACATGACGTCCTTAATCAGGTCAGTACACATGAAGAAGGAAAGTAACTAATGTTTCAAAATTCATTGTTACTGTACTAAACTTGTAATTCAAATTATCCATTTTACGATTTTAGTGTTATTAGTGGGACTGTGAATTGGACTTTGACATTTTTTCAGATCAACATTCCTAAGCAGACGGAGCATGTTCATTGGCTGACATTTTCTCCTGTGGAGGACCATTTCTACAGACGACAATATACCATCAGCATCCGCGACTCCATGAAGGTCAGTCTCACACATAACTCTTGTGGCACTCTCATAGAGATAAAAGCTGACACATAACAGATGTTTTAATTTCTTTTCAGAAGCTAGATAAGTGGAGAGACCCCACTGTAAAGCTTAGTAGCCTGGATAGAGCCACTGCTAATCAGGTACGTTCATATCTTAAATTCCAACATGCTGGGTTGTTGTGGGCACCACAAAGTGAGCATTAAGAACCTATGCACCTTCTGTGCACATAATTTATTTTGTCCTTTTTTTTAATGTACAAATGATAGTAACAATTGCCTTATGATTCACAAAGATGCAGTTCGATGAAACTCTAAAACTATGAAAGGGACTTTGTCATGGTTTTTTATTGTTTTATTTGCTTTTACTTACATTATTTACAAGAGTATACATGTATTCTCTGTTGTTAGTTGTTTGGTTGTTGTTATTTTCATAATATTTATATTGTTGTTGTTTCTGTTGTCAGTTGCTGGGTCCCCTGCTCAGACTACGTCAGGCTTGTTGTTATCATATTGTACATTGTTGTTGTTCTGTCGTCAGTTGTTGGGTCCCCTGCTCAGACTACATCAGACTTGTTGTCATCATATTGTACATTGTTGTTGTTCTGTTGTCAGTTGTTGGGTCCCATGCTCAGACTACACCAGACTTGTTGTCATCATATTGTACATTGTTGTTGTTCTCTTGTCAGTTGTTGGGTCCCCTGCTCAGATTACGTCAGGCTTGTTGTCATCATATTGTACATTGTTGTTGTTCTCTTGTCAGTTGTTGGGCTCCCTGCTCAGATTACGTCAGGCTTGTTGTCATCATATTGTACATTGTTGTTGTTCTGTTGTCAGTTGTTGGGTCCTCTGCTCAGATTACGTCAGGCTTGTTGTCATCATATTATACATTGTTGTTGTTCTGTTGTCAATTGCTGGGTCCCCTGCTCAGATTACGTCAGGCTTGTTGTCATCATATTATACATTGTTGTTGTTCTGTTGTCAGTTGCTGGGTCCCCTGCTCAGATTACGTCAGGCTTGTTGTCATCATATTGTACATTGTTGTTGTTCTGTTGTCAGTTGCTGGGTCCCCTGCTCAGATTACGTCAGGCTTGTTGTCATCATATTATACATTGTTGTTGTTCTGTTGTCAGTTGCTGGGTCCCCTGCTCAGACTTCGTCAGGCTTGTTGTCATCCTCAGGCAGTTAAAGGAGAATTCCTGCCTCTCCATCTCAGACGAAGGTCAGTTACACAACAACAAAAATTTTTTTTATCCTAGTATCAAGTCTTTGAAAATATTCTTAACAGCTATGCATTATAGATGTTACGTGTTATCAATACATCCCATTTGCCATTACATGTGTATTTGAATTTCTTGGTTTGCAATGGTAAAGTTACCTGATGATGCAAATAAAGCTAATATTATTACAGTGCAATGACGATGGAGGAATTGTTAGAGTCCCTCACCAAGAAGACGAGGACAGAGTGCGAGGAGAGTCATCGATTGTTGATTGCAGCTTTTAATGGTCTGGCTGGTTGGTACATCATTAATGAACAGGTATAATGAAAAACCATGAGTCATATGTCAGTAGTATATGTAAATGTATACAGTTGACAGCATCATTAATGTTCATTCAGTTATTTCTACATCTGAAAAATATCCTGCAAGTCCCCTCTCTCCCATCCTTACCCCTTCTTAAAAATTTACATGTATATTATGCAATAATTAGGGCCCCGCAAGGATTTGCGGGTGCCCTATAGTAATCACTCTGTCTGTCCGTCTGTCTGTCTGTCCGTCTGTCATTCTTCCATCCACAAATTTTCTGTTTTTTTCTAATAACTTTTTTTAGAGTTGACCAATTAAGTTCAAATTTGGTATGTTGGTTGATAGGCAGTAAGACATATTTTGATGCTAAGTTTGGTTCTCTATGTCATCTGGTTTGGAGCTGGGGTGGTGGGGTAGATTCCTTTACTTTATATAAGAGTGAATCGGCAAAGAGAGATAACTGCTGAGAATGTTCCTATTGTAAACTATGAAAGGCTGCAATGAGTCTCTTGGGATTATTTAACTTTTCTCTTGAAGAAAATCCAAAGCATTTATCTTTATCTGTCACATTGAGATTAATTAACACCTCTGTCGTCAAATGAAGTTTGTTTTGAAGTTAAGGTCAATTCTGAATGATGTTTACATTCTCTGATATGTGGATTTAAATAATGTTCATACTTTATTTTGGTAAAATACACAATGAGTTATTTATGATTTTGTTGAAAACAAGATATAGATAAAGATATCTTTTTTATAATTATTTTCTTTTTTTTCTTTCTTTTTTCTGCCTTATGTAAATTCAAGAATACTATTTATTTTAAGAGGTAATCAGATAATAACCTCATTCTATCATTGCTGAAAAAGTTCTTGTAAATTTAGAAGAAAAGGTTGAGAGAGCAGTATAATTAATCCCCTGGGATTAATTATCTTGCTGGTTGCAGAAAATTTTAGAGGGTTGTGTTTCTGTCATTTTAAGATTAATTAACACCTTTGTCTGCAACTGATGTTTGTTTTGAAGTTAAGGTCAAGCCTGGGTGATATTTGCATTCACTGAAGACTGGCATTTTAGAAAACACATGCTTCATTCTTCTTTAAATATACATTTAATTGAGTCATTATAGATATGATGTTTTTTCTGCCTTATGTAAATACAAGGATACTATTTACAGGTTGTTGGATATTTAGCAGTTGCAGTTGCTTATTCTTCTTTATATATTTTTAAATTTTTATAATCAAGTAAAATTCTCATCCCGTAATCTGCACCCTTATATTTCTACCCCTCAGCGGGGCCCTTGCTGACTGGTCAGATTTCTAGTTTTTTATTATAAATGAGATCGAGTTGTGTTATCAAAATTTAGAATGCCTCTCTGTTTTCCTTCAACTTGCATTAAGAGAAAGGTTTTGATGAAATATTAGAGAGGTTGAGATTTTAAACTTGTACTCGTATGTGTACGTGTGCACAAACTTTGACGTACACGTACACATTTTTTGTAATTTGTCTGTTGAGATTTTAATGACGTGTAACATGAACATGTAGACTGTAATCGGTGTCTCTGTTTCCACTATTTAGTAGTTTTGTGACATTAGTTTGACTTTAGTTAGTGAACAAAACATGGTTAAAATAAGTGTTCATGAAACTTAACATCCTAAATAATTAACAACAATAACAGTTTCACACATAAATTGACTAGTTTTTATTGAAAAAGCTACACTGTACAAGTTTACACCTACGTGTAGATGCCTTTTTACAAGTTGTAGGAACGTGTAGAAAACTTATCAACGCCAAAACTGATGACGTAATACGCAAGAAATTTAGGGAATTCCCCTACTAGAAGTACACGTACACGTATGAAATCTCAACCTCTCTATTACTTAAAGAAATTTAAACCTATCTGATGTTGAAAACAATCTAAGTGGTGATGCTTGTTAATGCAATAAGCGAATGTGTTTAGATTGAGCAAGCATACTCTGTGAGATATATTTATCGATTTTTTTTATCCCCCAAGTTTGTTGATGCTGTTGAGATGTATAGGGAGGTCCTGAGGTCAGTTGTGGAACACAAAGATCGTTTCCGTACCGACGACCTCCAACAACTTCATGCCATGTACAACCTTGATGAGATGTTGCAGTCCAAACCTGAAGGGGTCCAGCCAACACTCAGAGATGGACAGCTCAAAGAACAGGTAAATGGTGCAGCAGTTTAATTCAACTAATATGTTGCTGCAATAAATAGCCCTCTCCTACTTTTTTTTCAAATAAGATAAAAAAAGATGGAGAGGGCTACATTATTGTAGCTTAAGTTATGATGGATAAAGGTTGGTGTAAATATGATTTTTAGTGATAAAATGCCCCCCCCCCCCCCCCTAAAAAAAACATTTGATGTATTATATACTGTATGTTATTAGATGGAGGAACTAAAAGTGAAATACTTGACAAAGTCCAGAACTGTAGTCCACTCTGTAAATGACCAGCTGGCCCCAGTTACACAGAGTCTTCAGGACCTGCAGAGGGAGGTCAGTATTTAAGATGTGGAAAAAATTAGACTCCACATGCTCTTAGAGGAAGGGAGACAAAGATATTACGCTTATTTACATGTGTAATTTTGCACTTTTAATAGGTACAATATATCTAAGTAGTAAACAGCACAAGGCAAAGAATCTCACAAGAAAACATCCTAGAAAGTCATGATAGTCAAATAGTCACAAATTAGACACTTGAGTTGTAGAAATTGTGCATTGAAAGATGAAATCAAAACCTTGTGCTACATTTAAAATCTAAAGTGCATTTACCGTATATACTCGCTCATAAGTCAGTCTGCCTATAGGTCGGTTGTATATTTGAGGTTAGTTTGGAGGGATTTGCCATTGACCCGCTTATAAGTTGGTACAGCTTTTTTTGCCAGAATCAGTTGATAATTTCAAATCAATGCTCTGATCTTTTAACCTGGTTTCAATTTACATTTTAAGAAATGACGCTGATATGTAATTTTGAATAATTAAAAAAATAAGTAATGCACACTTAAGATAAAAATAAAGTTATGAAAATATGTAAATACTTATACCTTTACATGTGTTAATGCACAATCTTAGAATACATAAATGATATAAAATTTCCAGATAATTGTGGGAAATGTTTATAAAATACTAAATTTCGCCATCCAGAAAAATACAAATCTTTTTATGACTTACCTATAAGTTGGACACAGAGTTTTGGATCAAAATTTAATTCCCCCAAAAACTGACTTATAGGTGAGTAAATATTGTAAATCAGCAGAAATAAAGACTAAGTTGAACAAGTGCAAGTCTGTAAAAATGTGTTGTAGGAGGGATTATTATTTCTATAGTAAAGATTTCCTTATAAAGCCATATGTTCAGTCATTTAAGTCATAATTGCTATCTTTGTAGTTCATGGAGGGTCAGGAATGGTGGCTAGAGGTGATCCAGTTAGCAGCTCAGAGAGACATTGATGACAGATTGATTGACCATGTGAAAAATGACCTTAGTAACCAACAGACTAGTGTACTGTCAATCTCGATGGCAGGGGCGTAAGTAGTCATAGTAACTACATATTAGTGTACAGTCAGTTTCCATGGCAGGGGTTTAAGGAGTCAAAGTAACAACAGACTAGTGTACTGGTAGTTTCCATTTTGGTAAGGAGTAAAGGGAGAGGGCTTATTTTCATTAGTTACCCAAGGTTAATGTACAATCATTCTCCATGGTTATGGCTAAAAAAGTCATTAGTAACTACTGTACAAACTTTTAAAATCATATGCAACCACAGACTTAGTAGTCTTAGTGTCCAAGGCAATGGCACAAGTAGTTAATGCTCCATTGTTGAAGAAGGCTTGGGGTGCTGAAAAGGGGAGAACATAAGTAAAGAGGTCTTGGAAAAATAAAGGGATATAAATGTATTCCATCTTGGAGAATATAAGAAATCATTTATTTTCCTGACAGAGAATTTTACTTAGTTGAAAAATTAAATGTACTAGAAATAAGATGAGCAAAAAGAATCTTCTATGTATCTTTTTCTTTTAATTGTTCCAGCATTGAATCAAAATTTACATTTAGAAAAGAATGTATTAGTGAATTATCATTTTGGTTTGAAAAACTATTTTCAGATTTCACAATGTATATGGACTGGAGCTGGTGATGCAGCAGAGAATGATGGCCCTGGAATCAGCCTATGAGAAACTAAAGCAGGCCCTGAACAAGGTCACAGGAGAACCCTCACAGGATCTCATCAACGAGACAGTGGAGTGTTGTCTTAGGCCTGTAGAGGGCGTTAAAAGCAGGTAAAGAAGAGACAGTAGAGTGTTGTCTTAGGTCTGTAGAGGGCGTTAAAAACAGGTAAAGAAGAGACAGTGGAATGTTGTCTTAGGCCTGTAGAGGGCGTTAAACACAGGTAAAGAAGAGACAGTGGAATGTTGTCTTAGGCCTGTAGAGGGCATTAAACACAGGTAAAGAAGAGACAGTGGAATGTTGTCTTAGGCCTGTAGAGGGTGATAAAAGCAGGTAAAGAAGAGACAGTGGAGTGTTGTCTTAGGTCTGTAGAGGGCATTAAAAGCAGGTAAAGAAGAGACAGTGGAATGATGTCTTAGGCCTGTAGAGGGTGTTAAAAGCAGGTAAAGAGGAGATAGTGGAATGTTGTCTTAGGCCTGTAGATGGTGTTAAATGCAGGTAAAGAAGAGACAGTGGAGTGTTGTCTTAGGCCTGTAGAGGGTGTTAAAAGCAGGTAAAGAAGAGACAGTAGAGTGTTGTCTTAGGCCTGTAGAGGGTGTTAAAAGCAGGTAAAGAAGAGACAGTAGAGTACCAGAATGGGATACATATAAGTAATAATGAATAATAATAAATATGAATATGAAGATTTCTTTTAAGTACATGTATTACATAAAATGTTTATATATAGATTATATGGAAGTCTAATTGACAGTGATGAATAATACATTGTAACTCCATTTTCCAGTTGTTCCTTCTGTAAAATCCACCTCCTGTTCGAAGATTATGAAGCCAAACTGTTTTCATTTCAAGAGAGGTATATTTACAAAATGCAATTACAGCAGTTATGAATGAAGATTCAGTAATGCATGTTCTGAAATAATGAATGTACATATTTCAAAGAATATAAATAAACCTATCCATTTCACTAGAGATATGAAGCTGTGTACAGAGGACACATATAGTACTAATACACGGAATTCTTTGTTTTTTCTGACTCCCCCAGAGCCTTTGCCTTGGCTGAGGACACCACGGAAGTCTCGTCGGGATCTCGTCGTCAGGGTACCTGGGCAGACAGTGAGATGGAGAAAGCACTCAAGAGTGTACTCAGCTTTGCCAGGAGTCATGCAAGTAAGACGGCTGCAGTGTTTTATTCTATTTAAATAAATATTTTTCTGAATAACATGTCTTTTATTGTCCATTATCTTGGAGGATATATTTTTAACATTGTAAATATTTTCATTGTTGTTTTATCACAGTGGACAGGGATCTTGTTCATTATGGACAGACACACATTGAAATCATGGACAAACTAAAAAAGGAATTCAAAGTAAGACCAATTTAATTATCTTTGTACATGTTTATATTAGTATACACAAAATGTTTGGTTTTACTCACCTGAGCCAAAGACTCAAGTGAGTACTTCTGACTGAATTTTGTCCATCGTCTGTCATTGTTGTCATGAACTTTTCACAATATCATCTTCTCAAGAACTACTGTGCCTTGACACTTGAGTATTCCTGTGGGAAAGAGATTCATGTTTGGCAATGGCCTCTTAAAAAAGGAGATAATCAAGAAAAGCAAAAATAGGGTGGGTGTCATAAAAAACATCTCAAGCACTACTGGGCCAAAAAAGATGAAACTTACCTGAAAGCTTCCTGACATAGTGTAAATTCAAGTTTGTTCAAATTATGGCTCCCAGAGGAGTAGGCTGGGGTCACTGTTACACAGTAAAGAACCAATGTGTTACATGGAAAAATACAGGACATTTCTTGAAGAATCTTCTTTTCAAGAATGGAAGTACCATGATTAATGATATTAATGTGCAAGCATCCCCATGTAGACCAGATCCAAATTTTGCAAATCATAGTCCATGGGGATAGGGTGGAGCCCCAGTAGGGATAAAAATTCTATATTGGAATATATAGGAAAAAATGTATAAAATCTTTTCAAGAATAGCAAGATCATGATTAGTGAGATTAATATGAAAGCATCCCCAGGTATTGCAGATTCAGTTTGTTAAAATCATGACCCACAGGGGTAGGTTTGGGTTCCAATATGGGATCAGAGCTTTACAAGGGAAAATATAAAGAAAAAATGTCTTTAAAAATCTTCCTCTCACTAACAATAGGGCCATGATAAGTGATATTAATTGCAAACTTTGTTAGGTCATGAAGATTCAAGTTTTTGACCCCTGGAGGTAGAGTTATGCCACAATAGAGAATCAAATTAAAAATTCTTTAACAAAATGAATAACATGGTCATGATTAGTCATATATTAATATGCAAGCATCCTCAGGAAGTGGTGAGTGTTGTGGCCCATTGGCCTCTTGCTGTCTTTAAAACACTTGGAAAAATATTGTAAATGGAAACAGAAGTTCAATACCAATGCATGTCTAACTTATTAGAACTGTTATAATTTTTCTCTAAGTTACTGCGAGTGTTGTGGATTGAGTGTAAGGCTCATGTTTCCTCCTTTGATGAACTGAGTATGGCTACAACCAGACTGAGACTGAGATTACCAGACGAACCAAAACCAGACAACAACCAGCTCAACATTCTAGAACCCTCTGAGGTATGGGGTATTGAAATTAAAAACTGGGATATCTGTACACTGAAGAAAAAATTGTTAGCATTAGAAAACATGATTTTATTAGGATAGTAATACATGTATACAGGACTTGATATCAACATTATTAAACAAATAGATATTGCCAGTAGACACAAATCATCCTTTCTTCTGTAAATTCGACAAACCTCTTTCAATGCTGGTTGAAAGTTATTACAAGCATTAATTTGTGCACACGTGTGTGAGAAATTGAGATTCAGTCTTTCTTGAATACTACCGAAATCACTGGTTGCTATGTTAAAAATGTAACTTCCGTTTTTAAAAAGTGTGTTCGCATTATTAAACGCATCGGCAGAAAATTAAATAAAATTCATAACATGTAAGGGTGCCAATTAGTGTCCATTTTTATACCCACCATGACTTGCGCTTTAAACAGCAAGCATGTTATTTGATGAAATTGAGGGTAAATACGGCTGAAAATATAGTGGAATTTCACTATAATAGTGAAATACCACTATTATAGCGGAATTTACGTTTCTCCCCAACCTGTTGGTGAGAACAATGTTATACAAAGTAAGAAAGCCTTTGAATACTGTACATTAGAATATACTTTTCATTCTGCTAATTTTTACGTGTTTTATTTGTACAGCTGGATCAACACAAATTAAAGCTGTTGTCAGAGAAGACAATCAGTGAGAATGAACTCAGAAAAAAATTAGGACAACTCCTGTATCTACAGAACCTGGCCAAGGTAGTGCAGAATTTAAACAATTGTGTGAAGTAATAGGGAGTGCAGTGAGTGGTATTTCCCATTTTTTTGGAAATATTATATACGAGATTATGGAATATGAAACCCAACATATGGGGAGTCTGCAAAGTTTGAGAAAATTTTTATTATATAGCCATAAAAATTGTTTGGAAAAAATGATATTACGAGACATTTAACGCATTCTTATTGAGTAAACTGAAAATTGGCAGCATGCAAAACAACACAATGATAGGAGAAAAATTCATTAATTATTAAACAAATGAAACTACTCTTGCCCTAATGGTTTCACCTACGGACATATTAAATATAAGATATGTATTATATATGGCAGGGTGTACAATTTATCACAGAGTATATTGTGTAAATTTGAAATGGTTCTTGTAGGCACAGCTCAGCAATGAGATGGGAGAAAATCCTGACCTTTGCCCTATTTGTCAAAAAGAGCTCGGGAAAGAGGTAAGCCGAGAGGTTTCTGAAGGAAAATACTGAGAAAAAGCTGTTTTTTTTTTTGTTTTTTTTTGTTTTTGTTTTTTTTTTTTTTTTAATAGAAGACATTATAATGCAATTTTAAATGTTGTATCTTGTTTGCAGTGGTGTGTTTTACATTGTGGTCACTGTTACTGCTTAGACTGTATTAGAGTTTTGTGCGAACAGTACAGTTTTGGGGGGCGTAACCGTCTAGTTAAATGTGCAGTCTGCCGGGAGAAAACATACCACAGTGATATCTCTTACGTCAGCACCGTCAAATCAGATGAGGATAAAGATGTAGAGACAAGGGTACAGGTAAGCAACAAAGTAATTACTGTAAACCAGTTTTTCTTTTTGGCTGTTTTCTTTATTGATTTTATCAATGTAATATATATATATATATATATATATATATTATATATATATATATACACACACAATCAGTACATGTACATGTAAAATGTGACTGTTACTTTTTTAAACAAACTGACAGAATCTTGTAAGGAACACTGTGTCATTATTTATTTGTTTCAATCCATTCTTGATCCAAGAAAAAAAACAATATTTGAACTTCACTATCTTTTTTGTATAAATGAGAATTCTCTTATGCCCAAAGGGAAGTCACTCCACCAAGATTGTTGGGATTATTAGATGTCTGAAGCAGATAAAGAGAGAAGACCCTGGTGCTAAAGTTCTTCTGTTTTCCTCTGTAAGTTCTCTCTGATGATTCATCCTCTGACAAGGCTGAGTATAGACAAATTTTATTTGGTATTTACCAATAAATTGGTAGTTTTATTTTGTCTACCAAATAAAGCATCAATTCAATGTACTTTACATGTAGAAATTCATATGCTGTCTTTGTATTGTAAATCCACTGTGATGGCTGTTATTCATATAGGATGTTTGATAAGGTTTATGCTGGATTAGAATTTGTGAAATTAATAATTTTTAAATATATTTAGTGGACAGACATTTTGAACATCCTGGTACAAGCATTGGAGGAAAATGAAATAACCTTTAAAACATTGTTTTCTGGTAGTAAATTTCAGGTAAGTATTCATCAGAATAATTTGAATATTAAAAATGATTAAAAAACGTTCATGTTATATGACTTATATTTTGTTAAAATAAGTGTTACGCTGAAATTAAGAAATTAATAATACTGTATAGCATATTAATATACCAGTATAATGTATTGTTTATACAGACTTGACATGTATAGAAAACTGTTTCTGATTTTAAGAAAAATTTGGCTGCCTTCAAGTCAGATGAGAACATAACAGTGTTGCTTCTTCCCATTCATTCTGGTGCAAACGGACTGAATCTGATAGAGGCTACGTACGTTCTACTGGTGGAACCGGTGCTGAATCCGGCGCAGGAGCTGCAGGCAATCGGACGAGTACACAGAATCGGGCAGACCAGGTAAGGAAATAAGTATTAAAATTTAAAAAAAGTTTGATATCATTCCAGTTGTAATTTTTTCTTTTGGTAAAGATTTCAAAGCTGTAGTAATTGCATTAAGAGAAGAATATCTCAAACATTTTGTTGACCAGTAGAATAGAAAATATGAGAGATCTAAGACAAATAAGGAGATGTAGTATGATGTAGTATACAAGATGAAAACCCATAAATTAATACACGTATACTTTCCTTGTAGACCAACTGAAGTCCACAGATTTGTGATCCGAGGGACGATAGAGGAGAAAATGTACAAAATGTTAAAATCAGCAGAGGCCACCGCCTCCAGTCATGATACGGAGGAAAACTGTCTCACTGTGGGGGATCTAACTTCTCTCCTGAAAGAGGAGCGGGAGGAGGATCCAGGAGAAAATTCTCAGACTATATGATACCATATAAGTGGAATTTTTAGCAAAATGCATATTTAGCGACTTATTTCAATAAATCGGTATATATTTTTAGTGAAAAATAATTTTTAGTGATTTTATAATGTAAAGAAAGACATCTATAACAACCAATACGGAATAAATTGTTAGCGATGTTCCATTTTGACGATCTCAAACCCTCACTAATAATGCCAAAATTGGATCCTCACTAAAAATTCTGCTTATACTGTATGTCAGATTATTGTAATATATCTCTCTTCTCTTTGTAAAGTAACAACAGTGATTAGGAATTTTCAGTATAAAGTATCTTACTTTTACATGAGCCAGCTATCATCTAGAACAAGAACAAAAACAATATGAGATTGTTGTAGTTAAAGAAAATCATCAAGTAGATGAGGTGACATGAGATTAAAGCTAACATGTGCATGTTTTATGTTGTAAACATGTAGCTGTAGTTTTCTAACACTTATCAGTTGATTTTCCTATAGTAGTTGTGTCTTTTTATTTTTCTCACATACATATTTCTTAGGCACTTGTTTTATGTGAATATTGTGATTTGACACTTGGGTGCAATACTTTAATATAAAAAATGTACAGTTGTTGAAAAGGATCAAGGGCATAAGATTTTTAATGTACATAAGAACCAAACTGTTGTCAAGAGCTGGGTTGTAAGCAAAGGTTTCACAATAAACATGATGGTATAAGTCCAGTTCAATGGTTGATAAATTCTTCACCGGTTATGTTGATCGTGTATTGGCTTTCAATGATGCAGTCACTTAATACATTGTTAACATTAGCAGTGTAAGATTACCTGTTATGGCTCTAATTTGGTTGATTTTGTTTAAGTGTGTGCAAATGAAAATAAAAAGCAAAATTTTTGAATAAAATGACTTCACCAAGCATTATATTATTAAAACATATTGGACAAATTTATTATGACATATATTGGATCAATCTTCTGTTTTCTTAATTAAATGTAATAGCCTTTCTTGTAGAATTCTTATACCTAAGTTTGTGATAAAATAAAAAAAAGAAAAGAAAGAAAATGAAACCTATTAGCCTTGTGTTTGAAGACGATGTTGTAAATTATAGCCCTATGTAATATAAGCGTACTGAAAGCTTAAGTTTACTGATGAATGTCTAATTAAATGTAACCTGTACTATACCAGGTCAGTTTACCCTTTAGTGCATATTGTAATAATTTTATTCTGGATGTAACACACTATTTTAATTGCTGAATATCAGTTTACGTCTTATAACCTGGTTCTGTATGTCACAGTATGAATATATAAATTGCTTGACATTGCATTTAAATTTTGTACAATTTGAAGTCATTTTTGAGGAGATATTGTTTTTTTCCCCCACAAATACATGATATAAAATTAAATTATAAGGAATAGATTTAATAGCTACCCAAGTTATATTTGTATAACCTGGGTGCAACAGTTTTGTTATAAAAGCTGCTTCCAATAGTGGTTATTAAATTCATTTCTTAAAACACTTCTCTTATTTCTTAAAGTGAAAAATAAAACAAAAGAAGATTGGATGTTTTAGTGAAAATAAAGAGTTTTTCATATTTTCATGGAACGGAAGTTTATAAAGCTGACGAAAATGAAAACACTGGATTTAATATACTCTGTTAATATTCCTATGATTTTGGTATATTTGAATCCATTCTATTTGAATTTTGCACATTGATTTGATGATTGTTGTTGAATTAAAAAAGGGGAATTAGAGATTTCAATGTTTAGTTTAGAACCCATTATTTGCCGATTTCTGCCACAGTGAATATGATCTTTAAGTCATCACAAAATATACAATTTACGACATAACCAAATTCGCCAGTAATATCTAACTTCAATAGGTGAATGTATGATATTTGTCATCTTTCAACTATATGTTTAGAATCAATTGAAGAAAATTTTTTTATTCAAAGAGATAAAACTGACAGTTTTGATAGATTTAGAAATGAAAAGGATGAAGATACGAACAGTGATCGATCTCGAAAAAAATCTATAAACGATGCAAATCTATAAAAAAAAAATACCATAAAAACACGGACCCCTGGAAATTCGAGAGGTGGGATCAGGTGCCTAGGAGGAGTAAGCAGCCCCTGTTGACCGATCACACCGCCCTGAGCCCTTGGTATTGATCAGGTAGACGAAACATTCCATATAGTCAAATTCAGTATAAAAACAAAGGCCACGAACAATTGGTATGAAATACGTCAGCCAAAATCACTCTCTATCCAGAGTTCTCTGCCGCTACGCTACTAACATGTGGGAACGACAACTCTGGATAGCGAATACCCAATTATATTTTATATTTGCGAACAAGGTCATTATAACAACCATAGAATTTACGAAATGCTGACTTTAAAAAAAAGAGGTTGTTGAAATGACTGTATCACCAACTTATCTGTCAGTAGCCTGCCTCGGTTAAAAAAATGAATTAAGTTTTAGAGTGACAGTGTTGATATTTTCCGTAGTCCTATAACCTTGCCCCGGAGACCAAGGTTGAGAACCAAATCTACACATTATGTTAGGAAGCATTGTGACGGTACATATTTTCGCCCCTCTCTCTTTTCTCCCAAATTCTTCACAGTCTCTCGCTGGGGAGAAATGTGACCCTCTATTTGACCAAATTTGAGTGACCGATCGCAAACAAACATGGTTCTGAAAAAATAGCGAGAGATAACGAAAAATAAAAACAAAAAATAGCGAGAGATAACGAAAAATAAAAACCATCCGGAGCCGGAAACCCAAGCTAGAAAATGTATTTTTGTATGTGTTATTAGATACATGTTTTATTGTTAAGGTGAAATATCCCTCTGCTCTAAATTTCACCAATTTAAAAATCCCAAACATTGATTTCATTAACAACTGTAGCATAAGATTCATATGGAAAATAGTTTTGAAGTATGAAGCGTTGCTTACTTTTTCAGAAATGAATATTATGTCTAATCATGATATGAAGAAAATTTGAGACAGAGGTAGAAAGATCAATAATTTTTTTTATCTCAACATAAAATTAAAAAAAATATGAGGTATATATGATAATAATATTTACTGTCATATATATTTAATTCATATTGGAAAACAAAATGAAGCGTTGCTTTTTAAATTAGAATATCGCATTGTTTTCTGTGCTTCTTTCTACAAGAGTTATCTTTCCATCTACAGGAGTTATCTTTCTACAAAATATTATTTTAGAAAAAAAATTAATTAATAAATGATGGACCTCTGACGTTGTGAGGATGCATCTTCTATAATCTGTGTAAAGTTTTGTTTTTATGTCGGACTATATAATTTGACCTTCTTCTTGTGTATATTACTTTATACTTTATATTTCCTCAAGGGCCCAGAATTGGTTTCAATATATTTTATCAAATAGAACTACTGTTACAACGCACTTTGAAAAATTACGCACTTTGAAAAAAATTTTTCAAAGTGCGTTAAATCTGGGACCAAGTTAACTCACTTTGAAACAAAAATATTTTTCAAAGTGCGTTAATATGGACCATATTAACGCACTTTGAAAAAAAAATGTGCACGGCTTGGTCAATATTCTTGCTAATATTAAGTGTGCTAAATAATTATTTGAACCTGGTTGGATAACTTTTCGGTGATGACGTCACTTCAGGATCTGAGATATAGACGTTTTAAAGATTTAAGGGGTTGTCTTGTTCCCAAAGGTTCTCGTAAATATTATAAAAGGAAAATGGATCTTCTAGAAATAATGAAGGAATGATTGTTTTATAGCACAATTTCATTTCTTTTTTATTTCATCCAGTCTGTAATAAGTTCGATAGATGTAGGGGCTGATAAGTGACTTAAAGCATCGCATTCTTCTTAGGCAAAATGGAGCAATTATGATTTTTCCCTACCATGAAAATTCTCTCTCTCTCTCATATTCATCTATCTATCTATTGTGAACATGCATTATATGAAACAATGGTTGACTCATTTATTTGATAGTAAGGAAAATAAACCTTAGCCACATTACTCACTTGACTGAAATTTTTACAGTTGGCTACTGTTGTTAGATCAGCGATATGACACCCAAGCTTCTCTATCTCTCTTCTTTTACATAAAAGGGTGCGGTTTTTTTTTTTTTTTAGGAAAGCCCATCTCAATTTTTTTTTCATCTATTTAACGTTGAATCAGATTTATTGAGAGAAAGTATATCGATGTCATACCAGTTATGTAAATACATATATTTGAGTAGGAAAGATAAGACCTTCTACCTGTCTTCTCCTTGTTCCCGATGAGGGAGATCAATTCATTAAAGTTTTTCTAAAGAAATATAACAAAATAATGCTGTCTAGATACTAAATCTAAGTCAACAATTTTTGTTTTATGCATATTTTTTCGAAGTGCGTTAAGTGTCTCCATGGAAAAAAAATGTTGATGTACACTCTTAACGCACTTTGAATTTTTTTTTTTCCAAACTGCGTTGATTTTGTCCCAATTTTAACGCCTTTTGAAAAAAATTTTCAAAGTGCGTAATTTTTTCAAAGTGCGTTGCCACAAATCACATTTTTAGTTGACATTAAAATTCAAAGAAACATTGATTCACAAATGAATTCTATTTTTAATATTGATTTACGTATTGCAGAAATTTGCTGACACTAGATTGTAGGAAATCCAGGTCTTGAAATTAAAATTCAATTCCCTCCATAAATCAATTAATCTTCTAATTAACTTTCTTCGAAAATACATCTCCAGCTTAGTTAGAGGACGAGAACTTTATTGGAAATCTTAGCTGGGCATCATCTCCTAGGACAAAGTGATGTCATTAACAATTTTCATCTGGCATCTTATTGATCCTGTCCTCGTATTTGATGAGGAGGCTCGCTGCTTTTATGGAGATTAATTGTAAGAAAGCACAGACAGAAGTTAATATTCTTTTGTAATAAGGAAATAAGAGACGAATCTCATTACAGAGGAAGCTCCGGTGAGTTGTTAGCAATGTAGAAGGGATGGACAACTTACACCAGCATTATCTTGAAGAAACAAAATGCCAACAGTTGTTATGTCATGTACAAAATGCCAACTTTAAAATAAAATTTACTTACTTGCTTATTTAGCTGAATTAGAGTCCACAATGCCTTTTTTAGGTCACGTGGGTCACTCAGATTAATACAGTATTTGTTTTTGTCCGTCGTCATAAATCCGCTGAAAGTTTCTTCTCTAGAACAGCTGAACCAATTTTCAACCAATTTATATGGCATAAAGCCTCAGTGGGTCACATGGTCAAGGTCAAATTTGAAATTTCAAGGCCTCTGCCTCCCTGGGCCAGGGGGACGTGGCCAAAGCATCAAAATTAATGCAATCTTTGAACACCCCCCCCCCCCCGTTCGATCTTGGACATCAAGCTGTAAAACTGTTGGCAAGATAATTATTAGCAATGAAACTCATGGGACCTGGATTCAGACCCGAGAGTTCAACGAAGTTGGTCATACATTAAATACGCATAATACATCTTAAAAGAGGCTCATGGGTATTGACGGTCACTTGAGTACCAAGCGTTTCTAAAGCTATGGCCACTTTATATGGTCCCACCCAGTACTAGAACTTTGGACTCGTGTGATAAAAACATAGTGCTATAATCATTACTATATTCATGCAGCTTGTCTTCTAAACGTTCAGGAGTATAGGAGATAGCTTCAACTGTATACTGATTAATGTCCATCCTAGCTTCCCCCTGTGTCCTGACTCCTTGGCACAAAGGACATAATCCTCTTTATAATTTTAGGAGGACTATATGTAGCTGTTTATTATAATTATACAAACCGTTTAACGGCAATTTTAGCAACCATCAAATAAGACATTATTAGCGATGTTTTAGGCATCGCTAAAAATAATATGACTAATTATTTAATCATGATAATTATATTGTTTATTAAAATATCAAGAGTAAGATTACGTTAAAAATAAATATTCAATTTAAGAATAGAATGGCATGGGCACGTTCCCCGGCCCATGGTTTAAGTCCAGGGTTGGGCTAAGTTGATCATATATTGGAAATTCATTACACTATCGAAAATTGTCTTATCTGTAGGTGATCTAGTGGGCAGGGATTATCTAATTACAATGAGTGCATAATATTCCAAAGTTGTAAAATTCATGTTTCCCGAGTCCTGTGTTCAGGTCCTATGGAGGGGTTTAGTTGGACATATATTGAAAATACATAACACCTTTGAAATTATTGCTTGTTTGTTGTTTAACGTCCCTCTCGAGAATTTTTCACTGATATGACGACGCCACCACTTGCCGGTTGAGGGCTGCAAAATTTTGACCTAAACTCGTCACATACGGTCATTGAGCAGTGAGGGATCTTTTTCGTGCCAGCACCTACTGCGACACGGGACCTCGGTATATACGGTCTCATCTGAAGCACCGGTCTCCACGTCCCGCAGTGGATTCGAACCCGCGACGTAAGGATCTACTCCTAACACCGTGACTCTAGAGCAACTGAACGTTCTCTAACCACTGCACCACGCAGGCGACCCTTTGAAATTAACTTTCTTCTTTACTCATGGAAATATAGTAGCAATAGTGTCTTTCTTTGTAAGGCTCAATATTTCAATTGTATCTTAGAGGAACTTGGATTTAATGCTGCAAGTGATAATCAAACTTTTAATTATAGTTCCCTCTCTAAGGAGGAGATTCTTCAAAATCATATGTCAGTTTGAATAATTTTTAATAATTCCCAACAATATACTGGATTCCTAAACCACATACAAATCCTTACAAACAAAGATACATAGCGGGCTTCAGTAAATGTTCTACCAAGCCTCTCTCTTTACTCCTCACCAAAATGTTAACAGCACTAAAAGAGAAACTTTAAGAGAACGGTACAACAACATAGTCGAGAAGTGGTGTTAATTAGATGTGGATACTTTAAATTCCAAGGAACTACACTGTACATGTATAAGAAAATTCGAAATCACAAAATTTTACAAAAATCGATAACATCAAAAAGTACGACTTTTCAACACTTTAACGACCTTTCCCCACGAAAAATTAAAGTACAGCTAGGCTTTTTGACATCAGTGACAGGTGCTTTTTCAATAAAAATGGAACTCGTAAATTTACTTACCTTGTGACCGGTCATTTGCAAAATTATTTTGTTAAAAACATTCTGATTGTACATACTCCGAAGTTGAATACTCAGAAGTAGATATCAAAAAGATGCTTGAGTTTCTGATTGACAACATCTTCACGGTTAGTAGTTTTTGGAGATCAAATCTTCCAACAATCTGTTGGATTTCCCATGAGTACTAATTGCGCCACGTTATTAGCAGACCTATTTTTGTATTCATATGAAGCAGAATTTATTCAAAACTTCTACACGAAAAGAAGTAGTCTCTTGCTGTGGCCTTCAATTCGACAATTAGATATGCACTGTATCGACGACGTTAATCAATTAACGATATTCATTTTCAATTTGGTTCTATATATATCCATTTGAACTCGAAATAAAAGACAGCAAAACGTGTGACACATCCGTTTCATATTTGGATATTTTACAAGAAAACGACATGAATGGCAACCTTACAACAAAACATTGTGATAAAGGTGATGACTTCAACTTTTCTATTCGCAACTTCACTTAATTATTTATGTGACCATATACTATTATAACATGCATATGGAGTTTATGTCTCCCTTCGATATGCATGCTCTACATATGAACATTTTCTAATACGAGGCAGGCTATTGACAAATAAGTTGATGATACAAGGATATTGAAAGACCTGTTTAAATTCAACATTCCTATGATCGATACAATGACTTTGTTACCATATGCAGTCTATCGTTGTCGTTTCTCAGGTCATTGTTTTCACAGTGAATTTTTATTTTTGCCCGATCATGAAAAGGAGCACACGGCAAGAGTGACCGGTTGACAAGGGATGCTTACACCTCCATGGGACCTAATCCCTCCTCTGATGTTTTTAGAGGTCCATGTTTGCTCTGCTCCAAATTTGTATTGTTCCAACTTCATTTCTGTTCGTTATCTTCATATTTTGTATTTGAAAAGATCTCCATTTTCTGCTCACACATTGACAATAAAACGGAAAAACTTTTTTCCATGACTATATTAAACATTTAGCCCTACAGAAAAATCTTGAAATCCCCCCTCTCCCCAAGGCCCATCATCAGGGGTAGGGCTAAATTGGTCACATTGAAAATGCATAAATCTTTGAAAATATTCTTTACTCCTAGACATCTTGTTGGCAATCTGTTTGCATGATGATAATTAACATTTTACTCTCCACCAAAAACTCATGGCCCTTGATCAACGGTTCTACCAATTACTGTTGGGCTAAGTTACACAGTAAGTCTTTGAGTCTTCTTCTAGTCCTGTACAAAATTGACAAAATTCATGTCCAACAAGTGCAGAGGTCAGGCTTTATTGAGGGGCTAAGACAGACATACATGTATATTTAAATTTATTATACAATAAACATATACCTTGTTTTCTTTAGTTCTGAATCTCTATCTCTAGAAGACAAGCTGTCTAAATAAATACTAGTAGTCCTCACCATCTGAGAGTATGACAGTTTATCGCCTCATTATTTTGGATTTGCCTGTTGAATTAGAATTTTAAAAAAAAAAATGCTTTTTGTGGACCAGTCCTTTAAAACGATTAAAAAGAACTTTTGACAGAAGTTATGTGCTTTCACATAGAAAAAAAAAACTGTATGAGAGAGGAAAAACATATTAAAGATTTGAGGTAGCGCTTTATACTTACTGTCCCCATTGTAATCTTTTCATCATATTACGGGTATTGTTCAGTGATGTTTAAATAACTGATATATGGTTGTCACAAGTTAAATTTTCGTTCCAATAAATCACTGAAATTAAATTCAAAAGGGTGTATCTTTAATGCTTAAGTTAGACTTTATTTGAAAAAGAAAGATGCATGACTGTCATAATTTTAAGTTTCAATAGGTCTTTGGGTATTGGGTTTAGATAAAATGCATTTTGAATAACGTGATAAAGTGAAATCCGATGTTAGCTATACAAAGAATCTCCAAAATACAAAGAATCATTGAAAAAAAATTGTTGAGAGACGTACAGTATTACAGAAATTTAAATTGTTTGAAAATGTATTAAAATGAATAATTTATGTAAAAGGATATTGTATCCTTTTTTGTGTGTGACCCGGTAGTTTACAATACGCAAAAAAAAAAAAAAAATGAAAGATGAAAATCAGAAAATATTGACTCAGAATCATTACTCAATAGATTTTCATAGAACATTTAATTGGCCTGCATAATGTGCTCGCATAAATATGAACATACAAACGTCTAGTTACGCTATATAAGATCAATATATATCGATAAGTAAAAACGCATATGGTATATACACGCTGCAGTTGGAACGTTTAAATGGAACCGATCATGCGCAATGGAGTATAGCAATGGATCTAAGAACCAAACCATGGCTTTATACTCTGATATGAGGGCTTAAATATTAATGCACGTATCTAATGACCGAAAATATTTTTGACATTGTTTTAAAGGATATCGAGGATTTAAACAGTACAGAAAAGATGTTAATCTGGGGGAATTAAATTCTTATTTCCCAGTCTTTGTAAACATGAGGCTTAGTAGAAAACGGACGCTAGTTTAGATATGTGGATTTCTAGTTCTGGAATTATATGGAAATTTCTCATTTCTGTGGGTAAGTGTTACAACTATATTATTTTTTTTAATCCTTCGAAGGAAATGTCTTCTTTCCTGAGCTGTCAAAGTTCATTGACAGGTTAATATGTATTTTTATATGTTTCCCAGACAATAAACACGATCTACTGCTACTAGAGAACATTTTTCTTAAGAAGGAATGTTACAGACTTTAAAAAGGGCTTAAAAATATTAACAACTGATTCCATCTTACAGTTTTCTAGCCTTCGTTTAACAAAGTTGACTCCTGATCGTACCTTAGAAACAAAAAACACAAAATAACATTTTAGAACTCTCAACCATCACAAAATACAATAATTTGTGAATTCTAAGTGTTCCCTTGACTGTAGAAGTTAAAAGATAGGTATATACTTTCATGGTCTTGGTCCAGAACTCCTAAATACAAATCTATATAGTTGTATTGACACAAGAATTCATTTCCGACCACCGACTGTATATTGTGTTAATGCGAATGTAAATGGTATCCATTTTAATATATTGATCCCGTCCTTAGATAAACAACCTTTATCCCCAACAAGGTCGGCTTAATTGAACGGTAATCTGGTTAGCTTTGACAGAATATTGAAGAAAAGACAGAGAAATATCAATTTTCTTAGTCTATATACGTAGATGACACTTAATTGTCAAACTCCGTCAATACGAAATAAAAATACCCATTCACATTTTACATTTTAATTATTTTAAAGAGTTTCGTGTCTTTGTGAATTCAAAGTTTAAATCTTAAACGGTTTTTGGGTGTCATAAAATTTTCTTTCTAATATTGTGTGTTCTTAAATTTCCAGTTTTTAACAATTAAATCTCTCCTTCTGGGGGAAAATGGCTTCACATTCTAAATTGATGACTGTGTAGAAGTGACACAACATCGATATAAAAACTTGTAAACATTATTACTTGATAACAATAATTCTTTGGAGAATCTGAAATCCATAAAAATTCATTAATAATAGATAGATTTCTCCTTACAGAAACTGATTAAATTGAATTGAGTACATCGTTTAAATGAATTGAGTATCTTAAGGACTCACTGGTAATTGTTGGAAGGGAAAAGTAAATTCTGAATAGATATAAGCAATAACACTTATCTTCACCAAACTTTTTCTTTCAAAGAGCTACTCAATTTCACAAAGGACATTTTAATTTTATTGAGTATTTGATTTTAATCCCAACGATGATTTTAAAAGCATTAACAGTCTGATGTGAGAAAAAATCATTCTCTAAGATACGAGTGCGTGTCGTTTATCGACCAAAGATCCCATGTGTAAAAGGATTATTGTCAAAGCATTAGACGGTGTATAGACAATTTTCCCCTTTTTATAAAAAAAAGAAAGACCATTTTCGCACTTTCTGTCAAGATTGTATATATATCCTATATAGATCTGACAAAATATATCAAACTGTATCTGCGTACAAAACCTCAGGAAACGAAAACAGATAATTGGGAGCATTAAGAATAAGGTTAAAGAATTATTGGTTTCATATGCTATTAAATGTGAATGTTTTCAAATAAACTCATCCAAATATTTTTTTTAAAAATACGTGAATCAACAATTAGATAATTAGTTTACAGTTAATAAAATATAGATATAAATTAGTATCAACAATAATTTCTCATATATTTATCATTACACATTATATTGATCAATGTGCTTTCTAAATACGCTTGACTCTAAACACACAAAATATTATACAGTTATGGAACCTTTAGGTTGTTACAATGGTTTAGTTCTTTGGAGTGATTTGCCTAGATTATGACAAACTTCCTATCAAAGAGTAATTAAAGTGATTTCTTGGAAAGGACATTTGCCAGATTCCTGTAAATTGCATTGGGTGCCTTTCAATACTAATATGTTAATATAGGAGAAATTCAGTAGTATGTCAAGATATGATTATTAATAAAAACTAAAATTCACAGTTCTTAAACAAGTTTCCAACATGTACGTTATATTCAACGATCGAATGGTTATCATTATTTTCAACTCATGGCCTTACAACTAATACAAGGCGTACTTGAAAATTTTATAACGTCGGCACACCTGTAGTGAGTTACATTACCGGTAAACAACCACCATTCAAGGCTTTCAAATACTTTGTTTACCATTTCACTATTTGACCTGGCATTTTGTTCTTTCATATTTCACGAAACATTCCTTACTTTTCTGAACATTTAGAAATAAAAACTCCAGCTAGACTGACAAAAGTTTAGGTCATATATGGTTAATAAACTGAATTAATTTTTTTTATAGAAAAACGACCACATTCATTTAGAAAAAAAATGAATAATCTTAAAAAGTTCAACTTTTTGTACATCAGAACCCCCCCCCCCCCCCCCATCAAATGTACATTTATAATGTACAAATTGTTGAATGTTAGCAGCTTATTCATTAGAGAATGCCAAGCTTTTGCGTAATTTTTACAAAGAACAGATGATATAATCTTCTAATAGTTCTGTTAGATATATGTATACATTATTAAAAAATATCAATCAAAAGATATAATGGCATAAATAAAAGAGTTCATTGGCAGAGTAATTAAAGTTACCATTTTTAGAATGCAAGGATCGACATACCCATGTATTTAACAGAGGTGCTTCGGGGAACCACTTACAAGTGATAACCTATGTGAAGCCGGTTTCCATGTATTTTACCTACCTAAGTCAATATCACACCGTTTTCAACTAGCTCCTAACTACACAAAAAGTCAAATCAAGCAAAGAACTTTATTTTTTGACAATGATAACAATTAAAACCTTAATAATATAAACCTTAAAACATCCCAATACGTTTTTTTATAAGTACCAGGCTACGTTCAAATAAAGAAAAAAGAAGCTCGTTTTCCTTCAAAAGTCTGATGTGTTATCCCTAATTGTTTACAACAAAATACTTAACAGAATCAGAGTAAATGCTTATAATAAAGCATTGTAACATAAGTTTGGGCTACCGTCCATACATAGTTACACCACAATTTAAACCTTTGTGTGTTTTTGTGTCACGGCTCTAACTATTCAGGTAGAAAATCATCAATCTAATCCCACCTAAACCTTTCTGTCAATAGTCTCCACTCACATACATAAAGGAATATCTTTTTAATTCCAACCCAGTGTTTTCTAAAAATATTAATAAAAATTGAATAGGGACTTTTTTGCTGTGAAGAGTCGTAATTTTTAATAACAATAGCTAAAAGTGTGGTTTAAAATATTAATGACAGGAAGATGTTTTTAGAATGTACTCAGAATGAAATTTCGAAATGATTTTTTTTTTCAAGATCTCATTTTCAAGCAAAATAAACTTAATCTACTTTTAAATGTGAATAGAAATCGTCTATATGTGTCTTACTTATCATAAGATATTTATTTCTAGCAAAAAAGACTCTATATTTCCCATGAATATTGGCACAAATGCAGGTTTGAAAGCCATTTTAAATTACATACTGATAAAAAGGACAAATGTTGCAATATACAATTTTCTTATTAAAAAATACGGGAAAAAAACTTTGAGCACAGGTTCATACCATTTATAAAAGTATTCTTGGACAGCGTTGAACATGCAATAAATTAGTTGAGTTAACATGAATGTAACTGATTTTGTTTTCAATATTCATAAAAGTGTTCAGTTTTATATAATTAAAAACATTATTTCATTGTGGAATATGCAAAATGGTTGCTGCCTTAAATTGATTTAAACGATTTTAATTTTTCTAATATATATATATATACAATTGTTTAAGAAATATTATGTAAGTTCTTTGGACACTATTTATGCAAAAATTACACATTTAAATTGAAGGGTTATCATTCAAGCATTTATACTGGTCCAATAATCAATAACTTCTATCAAGGGAGTAAAAGCTTTTCTTCGTTCTTTTAAAACATCTTTAAAGGATAAGATAGGGCGAATCCTTCTTTTTCGCCCCCTGTTTGGGGTGTGGTAGACAGGTGCAAGAGTTCAACCTGTTACTAGTCCTGTTATGAGAATTGATTTTAAGCGATAGGATACACAGAGGTCACAGAAACATTCCAAGTGTGAAATACAGTACATTTTGAACATGAAAATCTCAGATAGGCTCTTTATTTTCCGAGTTAAAAAATATCTTCAAATTTGACGAAATTCCATCAGAATTTAAGACATTCGGTAAAATGTTCTACTTTGTCGCCCTCTTATGGCCTCCGTATACGCAATGCTGGTTATTAAAACGTTACCTTTTTAACCCTAATTTATCACAATTATTGCAATTTCTTGAAAGAATTATTTGAATCAAATTCTTTAAGTTCATGTCCTTACAAACACAACTGGGATAAGTAACTCCATATTCTAGTAATCTTTATCTAAAAGATAAAAATGGAGAAATACTCCTTAGATTTTACCTGTGTGTTTGAAAGTACAAGCAAACGTATGTACATATACATGTGTGCAAAGTATGGGGTCTTCATAGACTAAATACAAACTGAAATATGTTTCTTAAGTAGTGTCTAGAAAACTGATGCCAATACACAATGAACATGATATAATGCAATCATTACAATTTCATAGGTATTTCTGTGTTCCTAAACATTTTTGCATTAATAAGCAGGTGCGAGAAGAAAACCTTTTTTCTGTTTACATCAATAATTCAGGATGCTCCCATAACATATCAGACACGTTGTTCATACCCTCAGAAAGCGTCACGTCCTGTTAATTATTACCAAGCATTAAGAAAATCAATTACCATTCATTAAAACCTATTTGCTAACGTCATTATGTTTCGTCTGTTGTTCATCGGATTTCAAGGTCTGTACTTTAATAACTCAGTTTCATTTTTCAATTAAATATTGATTGGATTCCTGTAGTCTTGTGTGGACACATTATCTTGGAGAATTTCTGCTCAATATTCCTATAGACATTTATAAATGACATTTTTCAAACTCATTGTAAATATTGTCCATCTAGTGAACATCTGATACAGCAACAAAAGGAAATCAATCGCTGATTTATTGATATTTAAATT